ACTGGAAGTAACTCTAACTGGGAGAGCTCAAATTACTATTCAAGTCTTACAACGATTATGGTATTTTTCAGTTTCCCCTTTTTTTTTTTTTTTGAGTGTTTTGGTAAGAGGTGTCCGTTGTCTGTTTTCAAATTTATTGATATAAAGTTGTTAATATGCTAAAAAAAAATCTCTGCTCTATTGTTATGTTCTTATTCATTCCTAAAAACCGAGCTCTTGCTCATTTGACTTTGTTGTTCCTGTTTTTTCTATTTCATTAATTTCTACTGTTTTCATCTATGTCCTTTGAGTTTATCCTGTTTTTTTTTTTAAAGATTTTATTTATTTCTTTGACAGAGAGACACAGCGAGAGAGGGAACACAAGCAGGGGGAGTGGGAGAGGGAGAAGCAGGCCTCCCGAGGAGCAGGGAGCCCGATGTGGGGCTCGATCCCAGGACCCTTGGGATCATGACCTAAGCCGAAGGCAGACACCTAACGACTGAGCCACCCAGGCGCCCCATCCTGTTTTTCTAACTTAAGCTGTATGTTAGTAGTTTCTAATTGGGATGTGACCTTTTATTTGACCTACTGATTTAGAACTTTAAACATTTTTTTCCTCTATTTGGAGACTTCTAGCATCCTTTTGTTAACTTCTGACAATTCCATTATAATCAAGAAAAATAATCTCCATGATATGGATTCTTTGAAATTTGATGTCTTCTCACAGCACAAGATCACTTTATTCATAAATTTCCCTTTTGCGTTTAAAATATACATTATTGGGGCGCCTGGGTGGATCAGTCATTAAGCGTCTGCCTTCAGCTCAGGTCATGATCCTGGGGTCCTGGGATCGAGCCCCGTGTGGCATCAGGCTCCCTGCTCAGCGGGGAGTGTTTCTCCCTCTGCCTCTCTCTCAAAAAAATAAATAAATCTTTAATAAAAAATAACGATTTTTACTTACTTGACAGAGAGAAAAGAGTACAAGCAGGGGGAGCAGCACTTAACCAACTGAGCCACCCAGGCGCCCCTTCAACCGATTTTAATTGCTCGATCTCCCAGGTATATTAAAACATCTACCGAGATGGTGACTTTGCCAATTTCTCCTTGTAGTTCTATAAATTTTGCTATATAGTTTTGAAGTTATCTTACTGAAGACACATAAACTTAAAGGACAAATCAAACCTTCTATCTTCATGTAATGATCTTCATTAAAACAAAATGTTACCATAGTTAGAGTCTACTTACACAGCTACAGAGCTTCCTTTGATCTTTCTTAGGCCTTTTTTATCTTTTGGCTCTGGGTATTTCAGTATCTTTGTTTTAGATGCATTTCTTTAAAAAGCATATTGCAGATTATTGAAAATCTAATGACCAAGATTTTTTGCAGAAGCACTCAATCTATTTACAATTGGATTTCTACCAATTATTTGGTGCTTATTTGTCCTACCCACTTTTCCTATGTGTTATTTGTTTCTTGTTTTTCTCCTTTCCCTTTGCCTCCTCAACAGATACCGCTGGAGCATATATTGATTTGTTTCTTCTAGAGGCAGCCCTTCATCTTGTCAAGTTCATACCTAAGTCTAAAAGTGGGTCCATATCTTTACTCTCCTTAACAGTAACACCAGATATTTAGACTGATATAATTTCAATTACCAACTTCACATGCATTAGGCTTACAAGCAACAAGATACCTAGACTTTTTACTTGGTATCACTTTTTCCTCCGACAAATTTGATATTACTTACACTATCAATATTTCTTTAGATTTACTCAAGTGCTTACTATTTTTTTTTTTAAGATTTTATTTATTTATTTGACAGAGACACAGCGAGAGAGGGAACACAAGCAGGGGGAGTGGGAGAAAGAGAAGCAGGCTTCTCGCAGAGCAGGGAGCTGGATGCCGGGCTCGATCCCAGGACCCCGGGATCACAACCTGAGCCGAAGGCAGACGCTTAACAACTGAGCCACCCAGGCGTCCCTCAAGTGCTTACTATTTTCTTTACTCACTATTACTTCTTACGTCTCAGACCTTCTGTGATAATATTCCTCCTCCTTGAAGTTTATCTTTTACAAGTTCCATTAGTGAAGCAATTTTGGTGGAAAATTCTCAGTTTTTGTTCATCTGAAAATGTCGGTCTTTTACCCTCATTCTTAATCCATAAAGCAGAGTGTCTGCATCAAAATTTCCTGGAATGGTATTAATACTACAGCATTTAATAGTTGAAGGCTGAAAACTGTATACAAAGGAAGCAATAAGGTAAGCACTATCTTAGTTTTGTATTGCATTTATCACATGAATATCTGGAATACCTTTCATATGCAATTTTCTTTCACTGGATTCTCACAATGATTCCAAGAAGTTCACCCTCCTTTTTTTACAGGTAAATGGAACACTCTTTAGATTTGTAACCCCTCACTCCACTCTTCTGGTTCTAATCAGCACCCCTGTATCTGCTATCGTGTAACTTAGGATGTGCCATTTCTCTTTCCCTGTAAGTCTCATTCTTTTTATAAGTATTAAATTTTCTGTAGTGTTCAAGAAATCCTTTTGGTATAAGTTTTAGTTTAAAAGAATTTTTTATTAACCAGGATTCTTAATTCCTTCCAACATGTCAGATAACAAATCTTTTTAAGATAACGAAGTCTTTGGTCTGACACATTAATATATAATTGATAATTTAAGTTAATATAAAAGTTCATTATTTTTTAATCATTTTCCCTAAGAATAAGTTATAAATCTGTGAATAACAGTCCATTAAGTTAATATTTCATTTATATAGATGAGAAATGGAAACAAGGATAGAATTCTGCTAAGAGTTGCTTAGTTTTTCATACATGCGTGTTAACGCATATACCCAGAGCTAGACCAGGGAAGGTAATGGAATTTTCTTATCTTTTCCAAACAGCTAAAAAAAGATGGAACTTAGAGCAGACCAAGAGATTTATCTTATTTTTTAAGATTTTATTTATTTGAGCGTGTAGGGGTGATTCCCAGAACCCCAGGATAATGACCTGAGCCCAAGGCAGACGCTCAACTGACCGAGCCACCCAGGCGCTCCAAGAGATTCTCAATCTTACTGATCACACACTTATCCAGGGGGAAACCAGCCTATTCCTCCAACATACAAATATTTATAAATTACTTACACGTAACATGTAATAAAAACCACAAAAATACAAAGTGAAAAAGGATGAACTAGGGATAAAATAGGTCATATTCTTAAATATTTTAAAGTTTATTAGTGGCAAAATAAAATTTGTTGAGGGCATATGGGTGTGAGATGAGAGTGTGAATGACAGAAATGTGACCTAGCGTAACTTGACTTGATTGCCCTTGGGACCACCATTGTTCTAAATTTCACGATGTGGCCAAAAAGCAAACACTGGGCCTAGGAGGGCTGTTTGTCTGACAATTTCTTATTGTCTACTGACAGTCTGGTTCCCCCTGGACCCACAACAGAAGTAGCTCCTACCCCAGGACTTGTCCTTCATTAGGGTGACAATCCCAGGAGGCCCCATGAGGGTGAAGTGAGACAGAAGGACAGAGACAGTATGCAGTGTGTTAATAAATGGATTGCTGCTGTAAGCAATGGGAACCAATCCTCCTGGGGCCACTCCTGAGAGAACCTCAGTGTCCTCTGAGCTGAGGGGTAAGGAAGCTGGAGTGTTTACACACCAAATCCTGCCCTTCACTGGTTAAGGACTGCCCGGCCTGGCCTACATGCAGCCCAGCAGACTCTGGCAGCCAGCAGACACCTCCAGAAGCCCGTGGGTTTTGGAACTGCAGGTAAGCTAGAGGCGGCACAGGGTCCGGGAGCAGGGCACAGACAGCATATGCCACCTCTGATGTCCCTGCATTATGAAGAATATTAACTTCATTCTTAATTTCTTTGCAGGATCCTTTCTAAGCCCTTAAAAAGAATCTTTCTTAGGTAGGTCAATACAGTTAGTTTTAACTAAATTGGTAACATATAAATGGACATATGAACACGAAAACATCACAGTCAATTCTTCCCACTTTCCCCACAGGATACTTCAGATATGAATGTGACAGATGACCACCCGACACACAGATCAACGAGTGCACCAGAGTCAACTGAATATCAAATACTGATGCAATTTCATCTTTTCTTAGATTAAAATGTATAAATAGAAGTTCTGAGATTTTCTTCCTCTCCACAATATATTACCTTGCATACCTCTCGAGGTGCACGCTCCCCATTCTGGCCACCCCTTGGCCAAAGTACACAGAACCTTGCCCAGCTCTCAGCTGGAAATAATTTGATTTCATTTCATGGTATGGCTGGACTATTCTAAATGGCTAAGAACATACTAGTAACTTACAGTTCTAATACAGTTTTAGCATGTGTCTATCACTTAATGAGGAGATGAAAATTTCAAAATAATCTTCACAGAATTCCTCGAACGGGTATATTACTTCCCTGTGTTAAAAAAATGATAGAGACCCAACCAGAATGCAACTCCATCTTGGACTCATTCTAACTCAGATCAGAATGCTCTGACTTTCCAGTCTTTCGTGTGAAAGGCAGATGGGCAGGCTCCTTGTTTTCATCCCCTCTGCAGAAATAACAGCTCTACAGAACACTTTCCAAAGTCACAGCTTCCTAAAGGAGTTACATATGAGAAAACGGAAATTCATTTAAACTTTCCTAAACAATTAAGTACTTAACCAAATTCCAGAAATGTGACACAAAGTTATAAAAAAGTTCGTTTTATTTAGGCTGCAATGTGCAGATTTATTTAGTTTTAAAACAAGCTTAATATACAGTTTAATTATTACCACCAGTTTGATTTATCTTCAACAACCTCAGAAGAGAATAAAGTTCTACTGTACTAGTTTAAGAAATACATTCTGGAAAAAAAAAAAAAAATCCATTCTGTGCAGAAACATTTATATTAATTCTTCCAGAGTTTAAAGCTTTATAATCAAATCATTTTAGCCCATTAAGGACTTTTTAAATTTTGCATAATATCCTGAAAAACACTATTTTATGATACTATCAACAAAACTCAATGCCACTTTCTCCAATAATAAAAATATGCTTTTGTAAACTGTTACTTTTTAAATGACGTGAAACCAAAGAAAACTGGTTGCTGGTTTTAAAATCCTCTTGTTTGGAGAAAAATATTCTATGCCTTACTACTTGTTGCCATGCCTTACAGAGATAGGGTCTATAGTCCGCATCTGCCTCACTCGGATGGTTCAAGGCAGAAGAAGGCCCTTCTGTCCAGTTTGAGGTTTTCTGCATTATACTTTGTGTTGTTGCAAAAAGAACCAAGCGATACTCATTTACGAGCTTCTCTAAGAACTGAGCACATTTCTTCAGGGTATACTCTTGTAGGTTAACACTTTCTCCTCCATTGACGCGGTCTATCCAGTAAAAAGCAGACAGGCTATCCAAGATCAGAAGGCAGAGGGAAGGGCGGCTACAAACCATGCTTTCTAGTGAGTACAGCGTGAGGAGCAGCTGGGTGTTACTACTGCAGTTTACCAAAAGCAACCTTCCGAGGCAGCATTTTACCATTTCTTCAGAACTCTGGGATAGTCTATGTTCGAGAATTGTAACCAGCCGAAGCATATCAAAGTGATAATCTGTGTCAATAAATAAGACTTCTACTTCCAGTCCCCCTTCCGATTTTGGGAGTATACATCGTGCTGTTAAATGATAAAGCATTTCTGTTTTTCCTGTTCCCTCTGGACCATGAAATTCAAGAATATCACCTGCGTAAAATGTAAAAATGTCAGTCAAAATGGAGCAGCACAGTAACGGCAGGCTACAAAACGAGAAGTCTGCAACAATGTGTAAAAACACATTTACCGGAATGTCAAAGAAAAATCTAAATCCATTTGCCAAAATGGATCCATATAAGCAAATACAAATAAATAAGGAAATTAAACCATTAAGTTTCACCTCTTAGGAAGGAACTGGCTATTAATTAGCATCAAGAAAATGTGAAAAACAGAATGGCAAGGTTGAAAGGCACCCAAGGAAGTCTCCTGGGGAGGGGTCCACATGCACTCACACTGAAACTGGCGATAAGCTAAGAATAAAGTGCCAGACCTCTGGTCTTCCAAAAATCTATTGATTACTATGGTACACAGCATTTCTGGTACCTGATTACCCACTATACATTCTCTCCTTTTCCTTAAGTATAAAACCTCAATTTGGGGGTGGGGGAAAGCAGTGCACCCAGCTGAAAAACTATTTTTCTCCGTATCCCTTGCAGGGAGGGGTCAGCAGGTATCATGCAGCAGGTATCACGGTTGTAGCCAATGAGACACGAGTAGATTTCTGTTGGGGGTTGCTAAGTTTTGCTTTCCTGGTACAGGGGCCACTTCTGCTCTGCCACGCCCCACTATGGAGTGAGTATAAGAGGGACACCCTAAGTAGGGTGGGCCCTAAGAATGTGGAGCAGGAAGACAAGAGGTGCCCAGGACTTTGATGACACTATGGGAACCCCACACAGTTATGCGGGGCCTGCCTCTATACACTTGTGAGGTGAGGAAAATAAGTCTCTATCAGGAAAGCCCCTAGGCTGGACTTCCGTGACATGCAGTTGAAACAATCCCTAATTAGGGTTTCTCGTGTTATAGGCATTACAGGCAGAACAATGCTTGGTTGTGCAGTTTCGTACGTACAGAGCCTCAAGAGTCCACAGCTCTCAGGCCTAAATGCCAATAGCATCCCTCAACTGAAAACACCCCTCCACATTTCCAATATGCTATCACTTATTCTTTGCTATAAAAATTTCTTGAAATTGTGCCCAGCTGGAATGACATCTGCACTGTAAATTATTTTCCTAGCATTATAAGTGGAAGTAAACCATTCTGAACTTCAAAGATTCCAAATCTTTTTCTATAGAGGTTCCAATAACTCTCTTCCAGTGAGGACAACGCAAATTAAACACCTGGGTAAACTGTTCTGCCTCCGGAGTTCTTCAAAATCCACTCTGGACAGTGGCTTTCCAATTCTTGCTAGTTTGTTTCCATTTAATTTATGGCTGAACCACATAATTGGAAACACTGTTAAAAATGCAGATTCTTAGGCCCCAAGCAAATTACATAGTCTGAGAATCCAGTTACTTTATTTCCTGTTATTACTAACAAACCATTGTAAACTGGAACGCTCACAAAGAATGTGTAAAAAATGTAGCATGTTACCACTATACCATATTTAAAGTACTGTAAAACTTCAAACAGTTTCTACCATAATCTTACATGCAATTTGCAATTCAAAATTTAAATAAAAACGATCACCCCACACCCCTCTCCCAAAAGATTTGAGACTCAAGAAGTAAATCTATTTTCACAATAACAATTGTTCACTGATGCTCTTGCTGAAAGTTAACATAGTAACTAAAAAACTATTCAAGCCAGATGTTGTTTATTCTCTCCCACTACATGACTAAGGAGCTAAGCTGAAATCCACCCTTTACCTACAAATAAGTCTTTTACTTCCCTGTATTAGAGAAGGAGAATAAACTACATGCATTAGATGAAACATTAACATAGAACAGATATTGATGGTAGTGAAGGAAAGCTGAAAACACAGTTTAGCAAGACTAATCTGAAAAGTTTGCAGGACACAGTGAACCACGCAGAAACACAGCGGGGAAACCAATCAGCAGACTGCACCAGACCGTCCCTTTTTTCCCCAGAAAGAGGCCTATCAATAGCAACTAAGTTTTCTATTATACTTTACAAATGAAAAGGGACAACTTGATGATATCTCATTTGATCCTAATAACAACACTCTGAGGTAAGAAAGCAAACTTTATCACGTTCCATCATCACAGTTATCATGCTATATATTTTTTCAAGATTTTATTTATTTATTTGACAGACAGAGAGAGAACACAAGCAGGGGGAGCAGCAGAGGGAGAGGGAGAAGCAGGCTTCCTGTGGAGCAGGGAGACCGATACGGGGCTCAATCCCAGGACCCTGGGATAATGAACTGAGCCGAAGGCAGACGCTTAACAACTGAGCCACCCAGGCGCCCTCATGCTATATAATTTTTTAAAGATTTTTTATTTTTAATTAATCTCTACACCCAACATGGGGCTCCAACCTACAACCCTAAGATCAAGAGCCGCACACTCCACTGACCGAGCCAGCCGGGCGCCCCTCATGCTATATGATTTCTGACTATTTCATTATATTTCCTGTATGCTACTTTCAGGTTGGGACTTTACTATTCTATCTCCAGCACAAAACACAGTATCTTTCGAATGCACTTCATCAGATTACTTTCTTTTTGAGAACTTCTTGAGAGACATCTAAAAAATGAAAATTAAGTCCTATCTGGTGAGGGGTAAAGGCCCCAAAGTGAACTCTGAACATCACATTTCAAAGATTCTATTTATTTATTTATTTGAGAGAGTGAGAATGAGCGATAGAGAGAGTGCACATGAGAAGGGGGAGGGTTGGAGGGAGAAGCAGACTCCCCGCTGAGCGGGGAGCCCGATGCGGGACTCGATCCCGGGACTCCAGGATCATGACCTGAGCCGAAGGCAGTCGCTTAACCAACTGAGCCACCCAGGCGCCCGTGAACATCTCATTTTGAAAGGAAGCAAGTCAGATACGGGAATCACAGGTAGGGGGTGTGGCACCGGTCACAGAGTCCAGCAGGTGCAAAGGCCCAGGACCAAGGCTGGAAATAAAAGACTGACAGAGGAGACAAGCCAGAACAGGAACAAAGTGCCCAGTGTGAGTCCAGTGCCCTGCCCACGGCCCCTGGCCCAAGGGGTGCTGACACTTCGGTTCTGTCTGCTCTTCAGTCCCTTCACATATTCAGGTGAGGGTAAAGCTAAGGTAGTGATGTAAAGGTTCTATTCAGAGACAGGGTTGGAAGTACCCAAGCAAATCATATACTTAAGGAAAGCAGGGATTTTTAATTCACATAATCACATAAATATCCTAACAAGAATTTAGCTTTCAAAATACTATGTTAGCTAGATGTCACAAAATAAAAATGTCTTACAACACTAGAATTTAAGATTCAAGACAGTTAATAAAAGTGCAGACATAATGATCTGAGAGTAAGCTACACAGAGACAGAGAACAGAAAGCTCAATTTGGTGGGTGAGAGTGAACAAAAAATTAAGAATAGAGGCCAAAAACTCACCTCTTGGAATGCATCCATGTTAGAGGAGTCAGCATGAAGACATATAAAAACAGAAATTTAATATAAAAATTAGGAGGAAAATGACACAGAACATGAAAGGTTTCAAGAAAATGAAACAGTACTAAATAACATTAAATGCAGCACAAAATTTCTAAAAGTAAAAAAATGGCCGGGGAGAGTTTGGGAACAGATCTCTGAATTGGTCCTGGATAGTACCTTACAGCAGTGAATGTGTAGTTTGCAAAACCACTTTTTTTTTTTTTTAAAGATTTTATTTATTTATTTGACAGAGAGAGACACAGCGAGAGAGGGAACACAAGCAGGGGGAGTGGGAGAGGGAGAAGCAGGCTTCCCGCCGAGCAGGGAGCCCGATGCGGAACTCGAATCATGACCTGAGCTGAAGATAGACGCTTAATGACTGAGCCACCCAGGCGCCCCCAGCAAAACCACATTTAATATAAATATTATTTTTATGAACCAAACTTCAAAATCAGATACTCGGAAAAGAGATGGAAGGGCTCTCCAGGGAGCCCTCAGCATTCTTCCAAGAATCAGGCTGCAGGGAAGGCAGGGGGCACATGAGGAATTAGGGGAAAAATATGATGGTCTACATTCATTTAAAAAGTAAAAATATTCAACAGCAGTTTTGTGAGGCTGGAGTCAAATGAAGACAACCAAAGGTAGGAGAAAGGCAACATATTCTGAAGTAAAAGGGAAGAGACTCCACAGGGAGACAGAAATACATGACCCTGGCCAGAGTTAAGTGTGAGCTATCTCTGGATATTTCTGGAATCCTCAGAATAGGAAAAAAATGAAAACCTAGCCAAATATTTTCTTGGCGAGAAGGTGGTGCTCATAAACATCTTTCAGCATAACTCAAAAAAGTCTCGAGCACTTGCTTACATGGTTTAACAAGGTTTGCTAAATCCATACATTACTAAGAAACAGATTACTCAGTATATGGATTCCTCACACCCTGGTTTAGTATGACTGAGATGAGGCAAAGCCTAAGGTGAACCCTGGTTAGGAGATGATTGAGGGGTCCATAAAAATACTCTTTTCCTTTTACAGATTAACAGCAAAGCAGTAAAAAGGTCCTTTGTAACAACTGGGGAAATAAAATGTGCAAACTTGCAAATTACACATAAATATTATCATTAAGGTCCCAGATTCTCTACAAATATGTTTAATGATCAACTGAAGTCAGTTTTGCTGATTTTATAAACATTTACTGTTTAATCATCACGTCAAAAATCATATTCAAACATGATGTTCTACAGAGGGGCATAGTCCTTTTAGGGGTATTTGAAGTCACTATCTCTAATGTTTCTGAGAACTGTTACAAAAGAAATCATACCCTTGTCCACTCAAAGTATTGGGTATGACAACTTGCAGTAAAAAAAAACAACACCCCCACCACCACCACTAAACACACATACATGCGCACACACCCCAAAAAACACCTCTACAGTTTGGCACTTGACAAATTAAACTAAATCAGAAAATCTGGATGGTTTGGCCTTGATAGTTGCTCTCACAAATAGAATGCTGTAAGGGATCTGGGTAACAGATTGTCAGAGTGAGTTTATGAATCTGA